CTTTGGAGGTAAGGAAGTTTGACGTAATCTGATTCCTGAACTAGTCGGTTCTTCCCAACGACATCATCTAATTCGGTTCTTGCTTTGTTGAGGATCTTCGGATGATTGAGTAAAAGTGACATTGCCCATTCTATTGTGGCAGCTGATGTGTCTGTGCCTGCAAGTATTATTGTCTGCCAACATGAAAAATTAGAAATAAGTTTATCTTCATTTTAGGTCTGGTCAAAAGTAAGCAATCAATATATGTTCTTATTTGACATTAACAACGGAAAAATAGAAGTGAAAACAAAACGTAGAGTGAGTTGATTAATTTATCTAATTTTTTTTTTGTGAAAAGAATCCAAGTTGAAAATTGCAAGAATATGTGACTAACAATTAATTACTTAAAAATCCAAGTTGACTACTCAACCTGGCTCTGACTCTGAGTAGACGAGCAAAGCAAAGCTTATATATATGGTCGATCGGTGGCCACGTTAGCATAGCAAAGCTCCACATGCAACAAATGTAGAAATATCCAAATTACTAAGCCCTTATCCTTTTTTGCTACCACGTCGCTTCTCTAAAATGTTATTTTCAAATCGAACTTAATTGACTTACCATGACATGACCTTTGATAACATCGTCGGAGTAGGTCTCAGGTTCGGATTCCTGCAAAGTCAGAAAAGTATCGATCATCGTCTTTGACCGTGTCGAATCCTCCTCCCTCGCCCGGTGCTCCTCGATCAAATCCTGGAAAACCGCATCGAATTTCGCGAAAACTCGCCGCATCCTCTTCTCCATCCCGCCGTAATCAATCCACCTCAGCACCGGCAAGAAATCCGCCGGATTCGACGCCCCGCTCACGTCGAAAACCTCCCTAATCACCTCCTGAAACCTCTCGCCTTCCTCCGCTGCTCCCTCCGTGCCAAAATACCTCTTCCCGGCGACCATCCTCATCACTATGTTCAACGAAAGACCGTTCAGCCTCGGCCTCATCTCCACCTCGCCGAAACCCGACCCGCCGCCAGCACCCGAAACCTTGTCAAGCAGGCTGCTGACGAGCAGCCTGACCTCATCCTGACGTATGCCGACGGAGGAGTTCAGCCTGGCGGTGGAGAGGAGCTCGACCGCGGTGAAGCGGCGGAGGTTGCGCCAGTGCGGACCGTACGGCGCAGCTGCCACGGTGGTGTAGTTGTAGTTGATGATTTTGCCTGAGATGGACATCGGCCTGTTGGCCAGAACGATGTCGTTCTTGTTGAAGCATTCCTCGGCTAGGGACGAGGAGGACACAACGACGACGTTTTTGATGCCGAGGGAGAGGAGGTAGATTGGGCCGTACTGTTGGGAGATGGTTTGTAGGGTTCTGTGGATTGGTTCTTTGAGGAGATGGAGGTGGCCGATGAATGGAAGCGACGGCGGGCTAGGAGGGAGGTTAATGCGGCGTCGTTTGTGTTTGGATGAGATTAGGAGCTTGGAAATGATGACGACCAAGAGAATTGTTGGGAGGAAGTAGTAGGCCGTCATGATGATCAGCAAAATAGTGGTGCGTGTGCTTGTAGTATTTTTATTGTCTGTATTAATAGGGATAACAATAGCCAATTGTGAAAGTAACGGTTCATATAGAAAGTCAACCTTTTCAACTTAAGAAAAGAATTACGTACAAAAATTGTCCATGAATGGTAGGCGTTGATATGTGAAACAAGTCAAACCGAGAAGAATGAAAGATTGTATTAGAAGTGTTTACTTTGAAAAATTCAATATTTCTATGTTCTAATGTTGAAATGATGTCCGCCGCTCTACAGATTCTTTGGCATTTCTCTTCTACTTGTATATGAGTTGTTTCATAAATAAATTCTGTAGTTATTTCCAGAAAACTGAAAATAAAAATAATTTTCCATGGCTTGTATGATATGGACCACATAGCTAGGGATTTATTTTCTTCCCATTTTTGTAAAATTATTTGTATTTCATTTATCCACTCACCTCTCCTTATGAATGCATTTATTCGCCGAACGATATCCCAACCATATATGGGTTTTCAAAAACACTTTTTTCTTTCTCTGTGACTCATACTTACAACGCACCATTTGGTGTTGTTATACACTTGTCTAGTTGTCTTTCCTAGTATATGACAATTGTTTGGCCTCTGTATTTGTATTCAACACGAAACGCTAGAGAAGACAAATATGGATTTGTGGACTTGGATGGAGCACACCATCAAAAAATCCAAATTATATCCATTTTACTGGTCATGCATATCCATATGCATATGCGCGTGATGACGAAGTATATAATAGATGATATAGGCATCCAACAGTTAGTGTATCAATAAACAAAAATATTCGAACACAAGTATCACATGAATAAAACATCTAATGATATAGACTTCGAATGAAAAAAAACATTTTATTAATGCATAGAGCATCAATATTATTTATATCCTTAACAGCAAACTTAAACTGTCGATACATAAGAGAGAAAGATGGTACCATCATCGATGATGAATACATATTCTTAGTTGCACCCTCCTATGAATGCTATTTCAAACTCCCTTGCTCGAGTTATAAAGAGATTTGAGTAAAGTTTTGTAGCCTCTTTAATGGAAGGAAGAAGGGGCTTTTAGGTATTTCCTCATAAAACTTGGTCAAAAGTGTCCTGATACTATCCGAACTCGGATTTCTTGACTTGGGGATAAAGAAAGGAATATCCCCAATGCTTACGTGGGCTTGGGCTTCCGGCGGTCAGGGCCGTCGTGGATTTTTTCTCCTGATTTGACTTGTTTGGCCTACTAGTAACCTTCTTATCATCTAATGAATTGTCAGCGCGACTTGATAGCATGGTTAAAATTACTAAACTTAATTATATACGAATCTAATCGCACTTTATGGACACTAATTTTCTATTCCTTTAAAGCATTCCCAAAAGTTGCTAAAAGATAACTTTGCAATCTAGCATACCACAAACCCATGATCCATATGATTGAATATTACAACTCCAAGACAACCAATTCTACATAACAATGGAAATGAATTCATACTGCATGTTACTTAAGTCGATAAGGGGATGAATTCGTCTTCACAACATCTTCGTGGTCCCTGCTTTTCAATCTTCTTCCAGCGAATCTTCGACAATAATGCCCACTTTGTAGCTACCACCTCTACTTTTTGTATAATTTTCACACTCACTTTGCTCCCCAATTACCAAATCAGCCTTCAATTACCTCATACTCTCCGGGGAAAAAAAAAACAAAACAATCCCCTTCGCACAGAAACCTAGAAATTTTTTGGGGAAACTCTATTCTACACCTTAGAAGACTTATACATGCAAATGCATGTTGTACTCTTCCCAAGACAACGATACAAGAACTCGTGAAGGTATCCCGCGATGTTTGCAGAAGGAGCCGCCGTTGGGGTTGCGACTCGAGCCTGGTTAGACGAAGGTGTAGAAACTACTGCTCGAGAAGGATTGTCCCTACTGGCCGTTGTCCGAGTTGTTGAGAGCCTTCACTAGCCGCTAATCGACTCCCCAATGCTCGAATAGAAGAGAATTGGAAGATCGCCACAATCGAGTTAGGGTTCGTGATTGTTTTGGGGGTGTAAGCCTCTCAAAGTCGAAAGAAGGAGTGAATGTGAATAAGTTCTAGGGTGAAACCCCGAATTCATTTGTAGTAATTTCTTTTCTCTTTTTATTTTAATGACACGTAAATAAAGGAGGATTAAGGATATAAAAAGAGATAACAAAAAGACATGTCAGCAGACACATCAACGGTGAACTGTGAACCAGTTCAAAACTAACGGTCAAAGAAGCTCTACCTTAACGGAAAAATAGTTCATGACATAAATGGAATAATAAATTGATTGAGACACAAATGACACTTCCCTAATAATTCAGATTTTCTAGTGGTATACTGGTATTAGCCTAAGAATATTTTTAGGCTAAAAGGAAAGGGTTTCAGTCAAAATAGGGCCGCTTCATCTCCCTCACCCCATCTAGTTTACCCTATAATTGCAAACTAGATGATGTCATTGTGTAACACCGAGCTGCAGAAACTAGACGACCAACCTCTTGTCATCTAAGCTCCATCAATCTTCCCTGTGAGAACGAGCTTTTCCACCAATGCTCAAATTCCTAACTCCCACATATATATCTTCTTCCTTTACTTAATCTACACCATTCAAATCCATCTGTTGTGAGGAAGTTCGGCGTCTCATGTTCGAGCTCGCGAGCAGCTACCGCCGCAAGATGGAACTGAAGGCGCCCGTCTATCTATCTTTGCTTCTCAGGATTTGGGATTAGAGTGGCGAGCCACGGGTGTCAACTAGTGGAGTGAATTTGATTTGCTAGGGTTCGCAGGAGACAGCGAAATAGATAGGGGTCAAGAGTGTGAAGAATGAATAAGTCGAGGAAAGGGAAACCATCGATCTCAAAGAAAGAAAATTAAATTTACTCTGATTGAAAGCATCATCGTAACCTTCAGTGACTACAAACCTTTCACTTGGGTTGAACCACCGAAATTTCGGGTTTTGATTGGATTTGTCTGGTTTTTGTCGGATTTGACCATAACGATGATATTTCAATCGTTTTATTGACCAGAACCGATTGAATTGGGTACAAGTGGTTGGCATACCCCCAACATGACAACCATAGTAATTAGTAATTACCCCACTGTCGAGTCCCTTCTGCTTCCCTTTACAGAGCCGTGTATGCTGGATTTCTCAATAAACCAGGATTTGGAAATGGCCACATTGATAAAATTTTTCACTAGCATCTCAACAACTACATTGAATCAGATTCCAAAACCATACTAAAGTGCTCCAAATATTATCATACATATTATTAAAAACCAAATGAAATGAAAGGCTAACCGAAAGGACAAAAACAAGAGGAAGCGTAACAACAAAATGTCATCTAATCGTCAGCTCACATAGTGATAAAAACATTTCTGATGCACTCCCTTGGTTTACACAAAGCTTTTAGTGGCTTAGCTTTAGGCATAATCAACCCAAGTCATTCGGTCATGTCTAACAGCTCTTCACCAATCCTTTCCCACTCAAAGCATTAATTGTATCAAAGCTCCCAAAGCTACACTCACCAAACGGTACGCCAGCCCGGGCCCAGTGCATGACCTTAGCTTCTTCCCACACCAAATGGCAAATATTTGCGACCATCCGGTTCCACTCCTGCTGCATATATGCCTCTCTCAGGCCAAAATCTAGCTCGTAGGCTCTTCCCAAACAACGTGAATGGCCCATGCATCTGTTTCGGAATAGGACACAGTCTTCCAACGACTGGTGTGGCATTTCATTAAAAGTGGCCCTCCCCTGTTGGATAGAGCCGTACCGTCTCGTAGACGATAGACTGGAGGTACGGAAGCTTGGCTTAGTCGGACTCTTGCATTGCACTAGTCGATTGTTGCCAATTACATTATTGTCAAGTTCAGCTCTTGCCTTGTCGAGGATCTCGTCTCGGGATGATTTAGCGCGCAAGAGTGACATCCCCCATTCTATATATTGTGTCCGCCGAGCTATCCGTGCCTGCTGGCGGCTGCTGCTAGTATCATTAATTGTCTACAAATACCAAAGATCAACTTATAATCTAAAATGACTCGTAACTTAAATTAATGGGTAATAACAGTCAGTAAGTAATTATTAATTACGTACCATAATCTGGCCGGCCTTTGATGATCTCATCGGTGTAGACTTGCGGTTCAGCTTCCTGCAGACTCAACATATATAGTATCGATCATCGTCTTCTCGTTGCTGCCTTCACTCTCTCCATAACTACTCCGGTGCTCCTCAATCAAACGTTGGAAGAACTCATCAGTGAGCGGCCCGCATTCTTCCCTCAAGACGGCGCCGTTTTTGTTGAGGCATTCGTCGGCTAGAGCTGGGGATGACACGACGATGGCGCGTCGGAAGCCGAGAGCGAGGGAGAAGATGGGACCGTACTTGTAGGAAAGGGTTTGTAGAGTTCTGTGGATTGGTTCCTTGAGGAGATGGAGGTGGCCGATGAACGGGAAAGCAGGAGGGCTCGGCGCCGGCGGGGAGTTTTTGCGCTGAGGGTTGAGAAGGCGATGAATGCTGTGGGTAGGGAGTAGAGAGCCATAGTTCCGCTTGTTCTTGTACGTTGTATTGTATGGTCATTTCATTTATCTGAGAGAGACTGCGGTGGGTATATATATATAGTTTCAATTATTAGAGATAATTTCTAGCTATTTGCTGGATTCGATTGAATTGGGATTGATTTAAGTTACATACATGCATAGTCTGGGTTTTGTTTATCGAATGATTAGGTGGATTTTGGGAGGAGTAGAATTAGGTGCATGGTTATTGAATTATTTTTGTGATGGATTATCATGATCTTGCAATTGAAAGAGCACAGACCTGTGCGTATTAGCCACCAAAAAATTGAATTTTGGCTCAAATCTCCAGGGCAAGCAGTAGATGATACTTTTTTTATCATATGCACAAAATTAGAGCAGCAAACCAATGATATGCTTGACAAGTTTGGCAGTAGTAGGGGAGAGAGGCAGAGAGGAGTCTCCATCATAATCTATGCTTGCACTGCTTTCTCATAGGTTTTGCTTATAATGGATGCTTAAGCATTCCTTTCTTGGACCAAAATTAAATTGCAGTCGCAAGGTTCTAGAGCATGATTATGGGGTATTTGGTTATAAATTCGTCCACTTTGTTCTTATTTGTTTCTATCAGTGCTCAAGTCAGTACTTGATCTGTGGAAATGGTGGAGTGGACCGTGGAGACCCTTAATTACATCTCTGACGTGGTGAGAATCTTTGTGAACTAAGTGGCATTACAGCTTGCTTGCTAACCGACTTACTATTTGAGCTGGGTTTCTAAATTTGCTCATGAAACTGTAACACAGATGGGCCCAATTGTGCCACTACAGTCACTTGTTTTAGATGAGTGAACTTCTTTAAATCATGGAGAAACTCAATATAAAAATTTAGACAAATTTCATAGGAAGTCGGTAACATAGTTCCCTCCATTTTGGATAGTTTCCATTATTAGAGACAAGACGGAAAGAAAGCGGTTGGCAGTGATGATAAAAAATATCTGAAATCCTGGATATCCGTTCGAATTTGGTCTAATTGGATAGGGTAAAAACTCGAACTCGAATGATTTTTAGTGGATACGGGTAAAACCCGAACCCGAATAATGCGGGTAATAGGCAGGTATGGTTTTCACACTATCCAACCCGAACCCGACCGATTCCACACTTGTATATGTATTTTGTCTAGAAATGATGTTTATTTTTCTCAACATATTTGATATTTACCAAACAAATATAATATTTTCATTAAATTGTGTTGGTCTTAATTAATTTTTTTTCTTCATTCAAGTGATTTATGGTCATACTTTATCACTTATGTAATGTGAGTATACGTGTGAATGTTAACATGTAATGTGAGTATACGTGTATACGTATGAATAACCGTGGATGTCTGAATGGGTATGGACATGATTTTGATTTTCTATCCGATTCTCATGTGAGTATGAATATAGATAAAACTCAAAATACTTTGGATATAGTAACGGATATGCACTATCCGCCTCAACCCGGCCATTGTTATTTCTAACGGTGGGTATATAACGACAATTCTAATGGAGAAAATTCTGTGGTGCCGAACAGCATGGGTGTGCCGTGCCGTTCACTCTCAACCTATTAACCCCGGTTGTTTTGGCATTTAGTTTTCTCCTTCTTTTTATTGCCGGTTGTTCTACTGAAACAATTGCATGTCATGAACATTTTAATTTATTTATGGTGCTTTCAATATGGGTGTCAAAAAAATTGTTGTTTATAATAAAATGTAAATTAATGAAATAATATATATGATGGTTTTGCGAGTTAATGACGCATTCTCCATCCACTCAAATTTTATGGGCAACAAAAGCAGTGATTCAAACGCACTTGCCATATCTACCCAAACATGTATGGAGGTGGTTCAGATAAATTTGACAATTGACACATCCATGTAGGGGTTTACATGTATCGGGTTGTTCGAATTTAGTCATTTTAATCATTCCACCCATACACTTTGATTTTGAAAATATTTAATCTAAACCAACCAAAACAAATTAGAATCCTATAATTTGTTTATCATTGGGTTGGTTCGGCTGGACTATACTTGTACACAACACACAATAGGAACCCATACACTTAAGTAATACCTTAACACAACATAAAAATATGTTGTACTTCTATAATTGTACACAAGAAGGGAAAAATCAACTTGACATGTACCTAGTTTTAAATCTTTTTCTCCGTGATAAACAAAGTCTCTTCCAAATATAGATCCGACATCTTTCAGTCTTTCTGGCTTCCTCCATATATACGGCCGACAATTCTATCTGCTTCAGAAATGATAGATCGACAGTTATCACCAACTATAGTCACTCTTCGTCTCTTCTGTTTTGTCCCTATGAAATAGATTCGCGAATTCCCCAGTGAAAATCGCGCTCCAATCGACAATAAATTGCGATTTTTTCTCGAATCTATTCTAAATCACATTTTTTTCGCTCTAAAGCGGGAGCGCCCACCCCATTCACACGAATTGTGTGACTTAAATTTGAAGCACCATAAATAAGATAATAAAATATTAATGGAAAGAATTCTAAAGAAATCTCGTGGGAACATGATGACAATCAAACAAATAAAAACATTTAAGAAAACAAAAGAGTGAAGACAACCGGCAATTGTCGTTTATTTTTTTGCGACACGGGTACAGTCCCAATACCATAGAGTTCATGTTCTAATGGCTCTCTTCACTTCCCATTTCATTTCGCTTTTTCGTTGTTCGAACAAAAATCAGGAAACATTTGATAAAAAATGTGTTCAATTGTCATTTTGGTATTTGTTGGAAAAGGTCATTTTGCATTAAGTGGATAGCTTAGGGGAAACAATAAATCTATGTTCTATGAAACTAGTTGACAAGGGAAAAACCTCGTTGCCCAAAGGAAAATGCACCAATGGGATTAATGAGCTTCACCATTCAACTCCTGGGAGCCGGATTAATTATTTTGAAACTTTTTCCTCTTAGAAACCCAATCCAGGCGTGTCTGTCTAGGGTTCAGAGATCAAAGATTTGTCGGAAATTAGAGATTGGAAGGGGAATTATGGATTTTGATGTGATCCAAAATCGTGGGTCAAAACCATTCCCATTGATGTTCAAAAAAGAAACTAAGTCAATGGAAGAAGAAACTAGAAATTTAGCTAAGTTTGGGAAACAGTCCATGGCATTGGATGAGAAGATTGAAGCTTCCTGAACACCAAATGAGCAGCCTAAAGATCATATGATGATCAGGAAAAATACCCTATCAAGTAGGTTAAAATCCCATATAGGGAATCTGAGGTTCGAGATAGGGTATTTGGGTCAGAAGCAGGTAAGGAGGGTTAAAATACTCGATAGGGTATTAGATGGTGTCGATCGAGTATTTTTTGACTGACAAGTTTAAAGTTACTTTTTGTTTAGGATTCTTTTTTCTTTTCTGTACTTTCATAAGTTTTTTTTTCAGACCTATTTAAAGGATTGTAAACTCTGTTTTGGGAGATGGGTGTTGAATAGGAAAAAAAAACCATTTTTGGTTCATTGAGTTTTTGCTCTTGAATTTTATCCTTGTTTGTTGGTGGATCTCCAGCATTCGAGTGAGCTTTGTATCAATCAAGTGTCCCCCCTAATTTTGGTCGAGTTGCTACCCATTATATTGTTCGAGCCTGATGGGCCCACGTGGTTGAGCAGAATCAGGCCTGAAGCCCAATGAAAAAGGCCTGTAAGCCCTGCCCAATAAGGGAGCCGACAGTCGGGTGGTGACATCAGGCAGTCGCTCGTAGACAAGAAAGGAGGACTGCCTGACATAAAGCAGTGATGGAGACAAGTTAAGATCGATTAGGATCTACCTCGTTGCAAACAAGACCAAGCATGAATTACCGCTGTAGGCAGTTCTGTATGAAATCTAGTAGGTTTAGGGCGCCTGACATGGCATTTAATACCCTGAACCCATCTCTAGTAGAGTATAAATCCCCCCATGGGAGCATTGACGGTAAACTCAACTACTCTCTCTCTCTCTCTCTCTCTCTCTCTGAACCTAACACATTCTGTATTCTCTCTCTAACTCAATCTTCAGAGGGTGTCCTGGGCAACCGCCCACAGAACCTTGTTTCATAGGGTTCAGGAGTGCGTTGCCTCACCAAGAACATACGTCTCGCTCGTGCTCTACACAAACCGCCTAGTACTTTCTAGACTCAAATAATTTGGCACCCACCATGGGGCATAGAGTGAAGTACTGATGAAATGGTGGACGAGAGCTCTGGAACCCCTATCAAAGGTGTGAGCGAACGAGAGAGCATTTGCGGGCCCGAAATGACAACCGTAAAGTAGGAAATGGAGATAGAAGACTGCGTAAAAGATCAGGGGCTGCAGATCTCCAGCATGCAGGAAAACTTGAGTCAAATTCTTGGCATGCTCAAAGTAAATGAC